TTTAGAATATCACAGGTACTTATCTTATATAAGAATTATTACATTACATTTCATTACAGAGACGTATTTACGTCCAATTCTCCGGAACCGTGGTTCCACTGTAACTTTTTTGACGTAAATACGTCTATACGGAAGTGTCATTGGGCAAAAAAGTGAAAGGAAAACGTGTAAGATCCATATCAACAATGTGTAAATATGGACCGACAACAATGGTCAGCTTTTATATGAACTGCTGCGTGCATTATTATGTTACCTAAGAAACTAATTGTTATGTCATCTGTTTATTCGACATTGTCGTGTTGCATTACTGCCGTCAACAATCCCCTTTTCGTTATTGCGGAAAGAGCTGAGCTGTGAATCGCTTGTAGAAAAAGTGCATCGTAGAGTAGATAATATTGTGCTGTTAAAAACGTTTTAGAATATCACAGGTACTTATCTTATATAAGAATTATTACATTACATTTCATTACAGAGACGTATTTACGTCAGATTCACCGGAACCGTGGTTCCACTGTCAACTTTTTATTACCATTTATAACTGGTTAAAGTCCTAGCTTCCCATTTGAAAGACTCTTGAAGTATTATTAACAACTTCTGTTTTTTTCTAACGTTGTTGCTGGTAGCGCGTAGTTGTGGTGAAAGGATTATTATTATAGAGGCTTTCAGGAACTTGCAGTTCAGGTTTCAGTCGTTGGGTAGAGGTCGCGCGCTAGCCATGTTCTTTTTGTTTTCTCGGTGGAAGTACAAGCAGCGCTAGGAGGAGGTGTGGAGTCGCTGGCGAGTAACTAACTACATGACTGAACGGCGAACCACAACGACTTACCCAGTCATGCTCAGTTGTAATAGTTCCTGCCAAGTAGTGGAACTCACTTCTGTGGCTTCTTAATTATTAAGTTTTGGTGACAAGATCTGTCGTATGGGTGTGAATTACTTAGTCAGCTATTGTGTAAAAATATAAATATTTGTTACGTGTGGTTACGTTGATTATCGCTGCATTAATTCGTGATTCCAACATGACGCGCTAAAAGGTGAGATGGTTTGTAAAAAAAAAATGATTGTTATTAGTAAAAACTGCACAGATATTGTTTGAGATCAGAACTTTTATGCATTAGCTTGTGATCTTTGATCTAATGACAGTTAAGACGGTTGTCTGTGACGTGTCAGAATGGATAGTGACGTAACACTTAAAAAACACTGCTGATAGGAGTATTCTGTAAGTACGAATCTAGAATTCGCCTGAGGGGATGAAGAAACGTGAGAAATTCCAAGATAATTTGCTCCATCCTTGTTTAAAATGCGATTAAATTATAACTGCATGGAGTTGGACCTGACTTATTAACAGCCCGTTTGCGTTTTGGAAACGTTACCGTAGATTTGAGATTTGAAGTTCTCACGGTGGCGAGTAAGATGATTTGTTTTCATCGCCCTGATGATAGGGGTAGCAGGTACCTCTGAGACGTCGGTCATCTTGTACCAAACTACGCAGCGAAACAACCCAGAAGGCAGCCATCTTAATTACATAAGATTTTGGCTTATTCGCTGTTTGAATTCATATGTGTATTTGCCAACAGCAGTCCTCGTCTCAAATTTGGGTTTCGATTGAGGGAAGTAGATTTGTGAGTGATGTTAAGAATGTTATTTTACATCAAATCGTTTAATGCTGAATAGTGCCTGTAAGTCGAGATGGCGCTTTACGGTAAATTTAGTGTGAACACCGAAAATGGCTGGGGACCATTGACACAGATTCATCTGATCGGAGCGAGTGGGGGGAAGCCATTAACCTGCATTCCATACATTCAATGTTCTGAACTTCATTTCTTTTACTTAGAACGTGTTTCTCGTAATCTTAAGTGTTAATGGGATGTTGTGTATTGTAATCAGAAGAGTTTGCCAAGTGATTTGTTTTTCATGTTAGCATATTATTGTCAATAACCTACGGCATGAGAATTCAAAATCTACATCTCTCTTTAGCTCTGTTAGCTACAGCGTGTCTATGGGTTTAACTGTAGTTGAGAAACCATAAACGAAGAATGAAAAGGTGAGCTTTGAGGTTCTCACGGCGTTGAAGATGTCGATGTTGGTCTTCTGGGTTGTGACGCTGTGTGCACTTGTAGAAAGATATCTACATTTATGAGAAACGATACTGCCTGCCTCAGTTTATTAAGAAGGGCTCTGCTTCGTGGAGTTAGTTTATTTGCGTTTGTAACTCCTATATTGAACATGAAACTCAAATCTAACGTGATCTGTTTTTTTGACAGAAAAGCTCATCATACAAATAGATAAAATGTGGACTAATTAAAATATAAAACTCTTAGAGCATCTGTAACATTTTTCAATGTGATTGGGCCAAATAATTAAATACATTTATGGAACAATACTTACGATTTCTGACAGCGTGCATATTTGTATCTGTATTTGCTTTGAATGAATTGAGGCCAATGGAGGCATTCGATATTTAAAAAGCAATCTTTTTCGATAACTTTACGTATGTACACATTCTCATTCTGATAGTACTGGCCGCTGTCGGTATGTATCAATGTGCCCTGATCCTTGCAGAATAAGTTAAGTGTGCTAGTACCTTGTGGCATTGATGTTTTATAAAGGAAGTCCCCTGTGTCACCTTCAGATATTCTTCCAACTATCACGTCTAACATGGAAAGTCCTGGAAACTAGCCAGCTCATTTGTAAAGTAAAGACATTCTTTCTTTAACCTTACAGACTTTGCCAAATCAGGAACAGAATTGCCACTTGCTTATTCTGTACTGTCATGGCATCTTCGATTGTTTCTTATTTCATATATCGACGCTTTATCGGCTGTGAATTTTATTTAAGACTTGGATGGGAAACGATTATTAACGATGAAAAGTATTTGAGCTTGTCTGAGAACAAAATTCTCGTTGAAGAATTTACGTGGTTTTACTCGGTCCTAGAGTAAATTCTGAGTTCTTACCCAAATCTGACATTGCACTGCATGCTTCACATCCAGCATTCCCTATATTTATGTCGAAATGTTATCCTGAACTAGCCAACCCTCCCAATGTTAAGATGAAAATTTCATCAAATTCAGCCCTTTCAAGGTTGATGTAACATTTAAAAATTCCGATTGAATCCAACTCCTCTACCTTACTCCACTTCTCATTACTTCACTTCTACTTCTAAACGCCTTACCGTCTTTATCAGCTGGACGAGCGGGCACTGCCTGGGAACCTTCATAGCCGGAAATTTTTTCCTTTTCCTTCGTTAAATGTATCAATTCACTGTTCTCTCTCTGTTTTAAGTTCTCTCTTATATATCATTTATTAGGCTTCAAATTCTTAATCTCATGTTATGTAGCTGTGTACTTAATTAAACATTATGTCTGGTAGAAGTTTATGGCACAACAACCCAGAAGAAATCCATCTTCAGACTCGCCGTCGTGAAATCCTACTTAATTAAACTTGATCGCTAAATCTGAGGATTTAACCATTGGAACCCGAAGAGAGAGAGAGAGAGAGAGAAGGAGGAAATTGGTGGGGGAGAAGTGAGAGACACTTCGATATCTGGGGGGGAGAAAGAGCATCTTATAGCTAGAAGGTCCCCAGGCAATGCCCGCTCGTCCTTCTGTTAAGGATAAAGTAAGAGTGAAGGCGTTAGTGTGATGATTGGCATAAAAGACGGAATTTTGAAATTTTGTATTAGCGAAAGCTGAGACTATTAATTTGGAAGTTTAATACATAATTTAGAAGTTCCTACTGAGGGGAGGGGGGTAAATTTTGATTAATTTAAATCGGGAGGGCTGCATGAGAAGCTTGCAGTGGCAACTTGGAACTTGGGAACCATCTCAGCATTTGCTTGAAGACAGAGGAAAACCTGTGTCGAGATGGCTTGGAACCCGAAGCTCATCTAAATAACACTTCACAATTCGGCGCGTACTGCGAAGAAAACACCACATTTCACCATTCTGAAGGTCACTTGGTTTGCTTTTTGAGAAAATAATCGCTGTTTATAGTGAGAATCGTACGAAAACACACACAGAATGAGGATTTACTGATTGCTGAAGTAGGTGGGACATACAGTTAGAATTGGGCTCTAAAGGATATAGTGACAGAGGTCGGTAATCAGATATTAGTGATTATGCTTTTGGTCTCTTTTAATGCTCTGAAATGTGCGTGTCAGTTTAATATCGACTCACGACTTCAGGCAATGCCAGTCAAAGTTACACGATATGGGTGAAATACTTCATACTGCGTGGGTATGTTATGCGGGCAGAGTCTCATACTGACCTACAATTTTCAAGGCCTACTGACTGACCAATATCACGTCAATGTCAGCACAAAAGCACTTTCCAGGTGTTTCGACTACCAGAAACAAGTTCCTGTGCTATTCCATGGCTCGTTATTCAACACACTGGGAACCATCCTACTGTATCTGGTGAGATCCTTCCCCACTGAATGTAACAAACATTTTCTACTCCTATGTTCCATGTTGCAAATTCTTGTACCTGAAGTGACGATAGGTAATGGTACCTTATTTAAGAGTTGTATATTTGAGACGCTAATTATAGCCGTCTTAATAACATTATTTTTTGTTGGGCAAGGCCGTGGTCTAGGCAACCCGGAGTTTTCCTCCGGGGGCTTCCCCGGTTTCTCCATTCACACACTTAAGAAGGCAATGGCAAACCACTTCTGGATCATGTGCCAAGAACGTATATGAACAGGTCCCAGTCCGAGAAAAGGATGGAAGGATCCTGTTCATATGGACCTGTCGTCAGACAGAACACTAAATAATAATAATAATATAATAATACCTTACTATGTGAACTTCGTATCTATAGCAAGTTAGAGCGTTTTGCTGGTACTTGAAAGAGATGGACCGATGAAACAATATAATAGATATGTGTGTGTTGCATTGTTTGTAAATAATAGCATAGATCAAAGTCCATGTATCTGCTCTTCTTTAGCAATAGTTTCATGTTGGCATCATCTCAGACAACTCTTTTAGTACAGCGCTTTGTACTGTACCATATTTTCATGCTAGTAATAATTTACGTCACTAATATAACTATCGCTGTTCGTAGTCACTGCATAATATGTACAGTGATATGTTTCCAGAACGAAATAAATTATAGTCAGTTACAGCATGTAGCGTTTTTGTTCTCAAGATTATATTAAGACAGTTGTTTCTAATATGTTTATTTTGGCATATATTCCAACATCGTTCATGTATTTCCTTGGAAATTGTATATACGGAAGTTCTTTATGATTATTCTGAGGTTAATTGAATCAGCTGCCAGATAGGAGGCTGCGGTTAATTGCAAATCTCACGACTGTTTTAATTTTTCAGGTTACATCTCAGATTACCATTGACAATTCCGACCTCGAGAAACATTAATGCTCATTGAATGAATAAAGATGTCGTCAAAGGACATGATATTGAAGCAGTTGGACCTCGTTCGGTCTGAGACCGTGTCTCACCACCTCCAAAGACCCGTCGATAAAATTAGCAGTTCTTCCATAACACTGACCCTGAAGTCAGAAGAATACTCCGTCGAAGACTCTGACCTTTTCATTAATGGAACAACCGAAACTCAACGCAAAGACAACGTGCTTCGGAATGGAACTATCGATAACTGCAAATTGGAACGCGCCGTTAGGACGATAGAGGCTGTAAGCTTCCTCAGTGATTTCGATGCTCCTGCAGACCTGGAAGCAACTTCTTGCACGTCACACAAGCATTTGCACGATGAACCTATCAAAGTGCTTGGTACATCGTCAGATTGTCACAGGTCATCGGATCCCATCCAAAGTTCCTGTCCGCTAGGCACGTCATCAGACAAGCTTCGTTCTACGAGTGGACCAAATGTGTCCCGTGTACTCCATGTGGCGGACGAACCTTCGGACATACCCACGCCGCTTGATCAAGATGGTCTGTTAGACCCTGTTCCTGTCCAATCCCAACTTATTCCGTGTGCTCCCACTCATAACAGAAGTTTGTCACAAACGACATCTCAGTTGACGAATCTGAAAGAAAGCACCAAATCTGAGAATTTTGAAGACATCTGCGTGAGTAATTTGTTGCAAGGGTCGCGTGATACATACCCTGTAAATATATCAGGAAATAAGAATCTGTCCGATGCTCCCAGTTTGGGGAGCTTAGTTGTAGACAAGCCACAGATCAGTTTATCTGACATTTGTGACTTGAAGACCGTGCAGGACCCCAGAAGCCCGACTGAAGAAAGTGTTGGGTCAGATGGCTCACACGCGAGTGAGGAAACTGACCTTGAGAGTTTTCCCGACCAATCCCAGTGTCCCAGCTTGGAATCTGAAGTTGATTTACCACATTTAACACACTCGCCTTATCCTGACTGGAAGTTGGATCGTCGTGAATCAGGCCACCTCTACTGGCGTAGAGATTCTGCAACATTAAACGGCACTGATCCAAGTAGTCGTGTCAAATTTCGTTATGACATTGAAATACACGAGTTCGAATCTCGTAGTAGTGGAGCTGAGGATTTCGCTGAGGAAGATGATGACGCATGTTATGATAGTTATGATGATTATGATGACGATGACATTGGAGTCCGGAAGGTAGACAAGCTTTGTGAACCAAAATCGCAGACTCCCGCCTGCAGGAAAGATGAATCCTCGTCACTAGGTTCGACAGCAGTCTTGTGTGTTGTTGCTGTTACTGGAATAATTGTGATGGCTTCATACCGGTGGTTTTTGGGCATTCTGTCGCTCATTTGATTGTGTAACACCAGAAGACGTAAGGAAATAACTTTAAGAACATGTATTGTAACAGTTGTTAATTTTTAAACCACTCTATTTGTTCCATATTTGTTACCTGGTTGAGAAAATTTTGTGTATATATCGTGCAAGTATGTAACAAACCCTGTCTTGATGTTGATAACGACTGCTTTAATTATTTCTTACTAGCTTAAACCAGGGATGTGCTACAGGGGACTCGGAGGGGATCCTCGGAGCCCATTTTTAATTGGTATCTAATTGTCCTAGCCCTTTGTTTCGGCACACAAAATACACGGGTGACACACCAATATCGAAATATCGATGTACACACTTCCATTTTTCGATAGATCATGCCCATCTCTAATTTCAAGTTCTGGAACGAAATATAAACCCGAACTTTCTCACGCGAGCTCTTGCTAACAAATTGACAGCACGCCTCTGTTTTAAACAGCTGTCAATACATCACATCCTGAGGATGATGCAATAGCATCGAAACATGTCGTAAAATAATAAGCGCTGAAATGTAACATCGTAATAACGATGAAAAGCGCTAAATTTTAATTTTAACAACAACATTTAAAAATTAAAATTAAGTTTGTGTATAGACTGAAATAATAAATAAATATATACTGAATTTCAACACAAACATGACGCATCTAAACTACAAACATCACATAATACATATGGGACATTTTGACATCTGTGTTTCTTTTACCATGCTTCTTAACTCCATTGAAAGCTGCTTTCTTAATAATCTGATAATCACTGACTGGGCTAATCAAGAAATCACACGTCTTGTGTGGAACCCGGAGGTTGACCGCCATGCTCTGTCTTGAGCGAGATGAATGCAGTCAAATCCACCCTCAATATTCTCCATGCAGCAGCATCCCTTCAGATTATTCGACTGAAGGTTTCTTGTACGCGTATCTCTGAACTGCTCATAGCTGCTACATACCTCATAGCCCATTCTCCTGAATTTGATTGTCCTAATGTTTGTTATTTGGCAAAGAATGCCAATTGTGAAGCTCATTACGCACCCCCCCCCCCCCCCAGATTGAACTGTTCTTACTTCGTGGTGATTTTAGTGGAATCAAATACTTAACAACACTATATAAGCTATTTGACGGATTGTATTAGCAGAGTTGGATCAAGTAATGCTAATGACGAGATGTTTACTGATCTCGATTACTGATGATTTTTGATACTTGCTAGGATGTTAGTAGCTCATAATTATCGGATAATCGTTAAAATGTAGACCTCCAAATTCACAGACTTGTTTCCATGTCAGTAGCTTAAGAAACCGCTAGAATCAATAATATTAAAATGAATCTTAAAATTAGTATGAGGATGTGTACTGGATTTATCAGCTCAGGACGGGGGCTAGTGGCTGGTCCAGTGTGAATACGGTGAAGGAAATTTTGGGTTTCATAAAAGACGTATTGTTAGCTTCTGAACGAAGACTATTGTTGAAATAGGAACTAAAAAGTCCGATACGAAATCTTTTAAGTCGTGTGGTCGGTACTTACTATGCAAATTTAGCTTTCGTCTGATTGCTTACTCTGTCAATTGGCCACGGCATCAGGATTCTCTCTAGTAGCGCGTTGCGTACGTTCTTCACTTTTCACAGAAGAAGATACAAATGGGTTCTGGTCCATGGCTACATTTATAACATTGTAAGAATTAATTTTTATATAAATAACTGCACAGAGGTAAGTCCTTTTTGAGAAGTTAACAACCCTTCAGGTGATACAGATATTACATGCGCACTTATGGAACCTGACGACTTATCTCGGTCTTCACAAGAGCCTGCCACTGTAACGTGTCCGAACCCCATGGAACATAGTCGTCCTTGAGAAAATAAAAATCCCTCAGGAAAGAAATTCCCTACTATTTGTGGAACCTGAGGGTTCATTATTGTGTCCACAAGGTTCCACCACTGGATCTATTCTATCCATGGAGCAGAGTCCTTGTTGAGAAGACAATATTATTTCATCCGGTCAAAAATTCCTTGCATATTTATGGGACCTCGAAATTTATTCCTGTGTTCACAAGAGCCCACCACCTGTCCTTATCCTAAGCTAATTGGATCCAGTCCAAATTCTAATACCCTGTTTCTTAAGTCTGAAAGTGTCAATATATTGAAATTCGAGACGCATTTCCACCACTGAACGTGTAAAGGAAAAAATGGATTCTTCTACTGTACAAACATTTCACGTTCGTGCTGTTACCTCATCGCTTCGTTCTGTTGCTAGGCTGTTTTTTTTTGTGAAGGTAAATGCAGCATATTAGAAATAATATCACGAAACTTGCTGCATCCATTTGACGCTTTGCATTCATGTTGCCGTGGCTTACGGTAATTTCGTATTCTAAACGTAAGACTTTACGTAATCGATAGAATTGCTTGAATTTGTTTGGAACGTAAGTGTCAGCCATATTATTTTCATTAATCTTGTTAAGTCGTCAATGATGTATGTTTCATCGATTAACAATTTCAGTTTAATACTTCTGTCCTTCACTTCAGAATTTTGTATTTTGTATTGCAAACGTATTTTTATTTGAGCTTTTCATGAAAAAACGACTTTGTTAATTTTGAAAATTAGGTGAAGGTCCCACCAATATGGGCAGAGACGAAAAAGTTGTCTGTAAAGTTAACTGGTAGCATTTTTACGTGTTTCTGCACGGAATACAGAAAATGAACTCGGTATATAAAGGTTATGTCCCTCCTATGGAATGACATTTCAGAACATTTTTGATTAAATTTGATATTGAAGGTATGCACTAAGTATTTTAAGACTCATATAATTTTAGGTAGTACCAGTTTAATTTAACATCCGTCTTGCATTAAATGAAAAATCATTGTTAATGAGTATTTTCTAGAACTGCTCATCACTCAAACATTGGTACACCACATAAAACGAATCTCAGTATGTGAGTTACTTTTCAATGTAGTGCACCCGATTTTTTAACTAAAACAAGACTAAAATAATTCCCGACTGTGCAGAGTGGAATCTTTAGTATTAATATGGATTTGCTTCTATAGTAAATTAATTTTTAACCACTGAGATATGTAATATTACATATAATACATTTGGAATGTGTGAATTAGTCTCGAAGAGTTTGGTGTGAATGTTTCTTATGTGATCGTCTTGTCAGTCTGTCCGTTTTTGGCCTGGTGTTGACTTCGATATTAAGGCTTTGACCGGGATGTTCTTTTGATAAATCTTATGTGGTACCGCCTGATTCGACTTCTAATGGTTAAGTGAAGTGTTTTCTTCGCGGTACGGTCTGGATTCGTAAATAATATTCAGACGAGCTTCGGCTTCAAAGGGTTAATCAGCTGATTTTCGTAATGGTGAGGTGTAGTGTTTTCTTCGCGGTACGGACTGAATTCATAAAAAATATTCAGACGATCTTCGGCTTCAAAGGGTTAATAGAATAGTTATTGTATTTTGCTGAGAACTCGCTGAAATGGAAGTGTAGTCTGAAATACTTTCGGTTCGTTAAGTTTGCTGTTTGAGTGTGTAAATAAACAGTTGTTTATTGTCTTAAACATTTAAACTGTTTCACGAAACTTATCGCTGTTACCAGTGAATTTCCTGACGTAATTTTCAACTGAAACTGATTACATAATACAAATAATACACGGAAGTGTATATGAGTGTGTACACACATTCATATACGGTATTATGCAGTTCCTCACAGCCTGTTAAAAGTCCCTTGTGTTGGTCTTCTTCCAAGCGCTTGGTAATATCAGAAATTTTAAGGTAGTGAACATTCAGTATGTGTGTATGTTTTATATAAACAGTAAAATGTTTGTATTTTGTCTGGGCAATGGGGGTTATCTTGTACTCATTATGGCTGAATAATTGTAGTCTGATCTGCTAGTAACTAAATTTTCTGAATTTTAAATGAATCTATAATTGTTTGAGATGTTAATATTTATTTAATACTAAAAGAAACTGTACACATTTTTCTTCCGTTTTGATATAATAACTGAAATATATGCAGTATGATTTTAATAGTAAAGAGTGTTTATATATGAATGTTTTTCCGAGTCAGTTGTCACATAGAACTTAATAGAGGTTATTTGACCTTGAAACGGTTTATTTAGTAATTTCAACATTATACGTGAAAAGTCAAGGTAGGTTCTGTAAATATCAACGTTTCATATTATTGGCTCCTGAACATACATTTGTTCAAGTCCTTACTGTACAAATTAATTTTTCATCACACCGTAGTACCAAGCTGTTTGAATTATACTGAACAAATATGCCGATCTCTGAGTTTGAGTCTAAGCCTAAGCCTAAGATAATTCTTTTTAGAATTTTATTTTTTCCACAAGAAAGAGACGCGTCTCCAAGAAAAGTGCATGGAGGAAGAAATAGGAGGAAAACTAAGTTTAATATTAAATACATCCCATTTTTATTTCTTCAGGTATCCATCAGTCCGTATAGTTGTAGTTGTTTAAAAGAGAAATCTCTGTTTGAAAATGAGTGGTCGTTGTCTCTGTTCGGTGTACTCACAGATTTTAAAAACCTTATGCTGTTTTATAATATGCTAATCTACATTATCCTTTTAATATTAATAAGGCTGTAGACGTCTTGGTTGTAATCTGGATGATCTACTTTGCCAGTAAATGCGTACTTTCACAAATTTGTGTGATGTTTTACAAGAACCGTTTTTCTGCCCAGTAACTGCTATGATGTGTTCTGATCCAACGACCGGCCAGGTCTGCCCTCGGTTTCAGTTGTTTTTCCTCACACTTTGATTAGGCCGACACACCAAGAACCAGTATGTCGATTAATGTGATTAAGTAGGTCTAGTTAGTTGCGGTGTACCGGAATTGGAGCACACACGTGTACACCACCTGTTGAAGCTCTATACATGTCCTGCCAAGCGAGGTCAGTTCACGTCAAATCTGTTTTTGTCTGTTCTGTTAAAGCGAGTTAATTATGTAAGATTTGAGGTTTTCACAGCGGTGATGAGTATGAAGATTTCTGTCTTCTGGGTTGTTGCGCTGTGTAGTCTGGTCGATGTTAACCAACGTTTCAGAGGTCATACTGCCTCCATCATCAGGACGATGAGTATGAAGATTTCTGTCTTCTGGGTTGTTGCGCCGTGTAGTCTGGTCGATGTTTACCAACGTTTCAGAGGTCATACTGC